ATTACTCTCTCGGGAGCACGTAGATCTACTCAGAGGAGGGGTGGGGAGCTCCTTGACCCCCTCCATGTCCTTGTACCATCCAGAAGACCTACGGGTAAGCAATTTGCTGCTAAGAATTGAATGTTCAGGAGAAAAATGTATTTCTGTAACCATCGTGACGAATAAACTCTGGAAGGTTGGCTGAAATGGCGTGCCACAGGCACAGACCACCTCGGAGGTCTTAAAAGAAAATGAAGAGCTGGAAGGGAACGCACACCCCTCCACCCTACCCCCTCTGCTGCCACCTCTCAGCTGGAATGGAGGCCAGGAAAGCACATTCTCAGAACAAATGCTCAGTGTCCACGGCCCACGCCCACCAGTTACACTGAGAGGGACACCGGCAGCCTCTTGCTTGCCTCATCTGACTGCTGCGCCCCAGCTGTAGAGCCCTGGGCCCTCACACTTTGCAGGGTGTCTGATCATCTGTCGGTCAGGCCACCCCACTTGGTCTGTGCCGTCCACCATGGGAGGAAGGGAGAGCTGCTAGTTTCCACCTAGCTACGGTACCAGCTTAGGCTCAGAGGCCAGCACACAGCCTCCCTGCCTTCAGAACCAGCCAAGAAATAAGTCCATTCAGAAGTGAACAACTGCAGGCCACCCGGGGGGTGCGGGGACCCTAGGCCACAGCCCCATCCCCGGGGAAGGGCCCCATAGCGTTGGAACCACGTCTTCCCACAGAGAAGGGTCCAGCCCGGGGATGGGGGTCCCCTCCACTGTCCTTCCAGCCACCCTCTTCCCACGACCCTGTTGATGGCCCTAGCACAGATGGATCTGTCACCATCCCACATAGTCCTGTCGTAAGAGCTGCCCACTGCCCACCACCTGGCAGCAGTTTAGAGGACATCGGACATCTGCACATCTTTTCATAAATCATTTAACTTCTCTAGTCTGAACTTTTCTGCTGGGTAAATAGGGATTGGATTGGTAGATTTTAATTGTGTGAGTGTGTTTCTCTTATTTTATTTTATTTTGAGACAGCATCTTGCTAAGTCATTAAATTGCCCAGGCTGGGCCTGAACTTGTGATCCTCCTGCCTCCACCTGCAGTAGTGCTGGGATTTCAGGCGTGCACCACCACGCCCAGCTGGTTGGCAGTTTTAAACTTTAGCAGCGGCACACATTTTCTTATGTGATGTTAATGCAGGACCTGAGCACTAACATGGGAAAGAAGCAGTGTGGTTTTAGCATGAATGTGTCACTATTCCTTGCAGACTTTTCTTTGGAAAATCATCCAGGAGGCTTCTCCCGCAGGATTCAAATGCAGGGGGAGGCAGGGCCCCAGGGAGTGGCTGCGCTCTTATGTCCACATCGGCATCTGGTGTGTCTCTGTATACTGTCTGGGGAGCGCGGTGTTGAGGCCGTTGTGACTTGCGTAGCCCCCCTCAGATTCAGCATCCTTCGAGCCAGTGTAGGTGGCTTAAAAGGGAGAGCGGCAAGGTTTCATTGGCCAGTGTGGTCCCTGACAGCACCGACCACCTGTTCCCACAGATCGCTCATGGTGAACATAGAGGCCAGAGGGGAGTGACTCAGAGCCGCAGGAAGTGACCCCAAGGGACACCACTCATGGGGAGCTGCCTTTCCCAAGTCCTGCCTACCCGCTCTGCTGAGGCTCGGCTCCCTAACCAGCCAGCCAGTGTGACTCGCACCACCCTGCCCTGGGGTGATTGCCAGGCCTCCAAGGACATTGACAGGCGGTAGGATTGTGTGTGGCTCCGAGGAAGGCCCGGCTGTGCTGTGAAGGGAGCGGTGGCACCTACTAGGCAGGATGTGCAAGGCCAGAGCGTGGGTCCAGGGCACAGTCTGCTGCTGGGTACCTTCTTCTCATGGTCCCTGCTGCCTTCCCCTACAGTCCGTCTCTGCAGCCTGAGAAGTTTCTTCCGGCCCCAGCCTTGTTTTCCTAGCTCCTCCGTAGTCCAGTCACGGAGACAGAATGGAGTCGGGGCAGTCGGCGCCACCGCCCACCCTCTGCACCTGCGCGAGGCCGGCTCCCTGGCTCCACACTGCTGAGGAGGGGCAGCGTAGCAGCCAGGGCCCTGGGCTCTGCAGACATGATGCCAAGGCCTCGGACAAGCTCCTCTGTCCTCCCGTGCTTTAGTTTACTCATCCGTAAAGGGGGGATAATATTCCTGCTTGATAGTGTTGCTGAGTATTAAGTGCTTAGGAGAGCCTGACGCACACAGATCTGAAGAGGAAGGGCACGGGCCTGCCTTTTCTCTTTAATAATATCAGCGTGGGGCTGGGAATTTAGCTCAGTGGTTCCGGCGCCTGCCGAGCTCCGCATTACCAAAAAAAAAAAAAAAAAAAAAAAATCAGTGTGTCGGTTAAAGATTCGTTATTGAGTGCCTAAAATATGCAAGTACAAGAAAGATACTCTTTTTTTTTTTCTTTTTTTTGTGGGGGCGTTGAGACAGGGTCTTACTATGTAGTTGAGACTGACCTAGAACTCACTATGTAGCCCAATCTGGTCTCGAACTCACAGCGATCCTCCTGCCTCAGCCTCCTGAGTGCTGGGATTACAGGCATGTGCCACCACGCCCAGTTTAAGATACTCTTTTTTAAAAAGTAGAAATGTAAAACTCACTCACTGTGCCTGACCTCAGGGGGCACCAGTAGTTGGGCGGGCGGTGTGGTGCCTCTCACTCTGGCTGTGTGCCTCCTCCTCAAGCTTCCCGAAGCCTTGGTGTCCTTTGTCCATAGGCTGGGGTGCTGGGAGGCTTCGAGCTGCCCACCCCAGACTCGAGGCACTAGCCAGCGCCTGTGCTCCCACCTGGGAAGTGCAGAGGTCACCCACTTATGTCACAGCCAAGTGCCAGGCACTGCTCCAGGCCCCACAGCCACACCAGCAAGGTGCTAAGTGATCCAAATGCATGGTGTTCTCTAGGAAAGTCCTCCAGAGAGAAGAATGTATGGGGACCCAAATAAGAAGGTTCCGATTTAGGAAGAAACTCAAAAGCCCAAGTCAAGGCAAAAGTGGGGTGTCAGAGTGGGCGCTGGATCCAGTGTCCAGCCCACTGAGCCCAGACAGCACCCGTCACTGAGGCCCACCCAGCCCCATCTCTCCGAGTGCCGAACAGGAGCTCAGGGCTGTCCCTGCCCCCAGCTCTCCTTCAGCAGAACCTCTCACCAGGAGGGAGGAGAGAGTAGGCACCCCTGCCAGCTCTGCAGACCAGGCTGCTGGCACGCTCTGTCTGTCTGTCTGTCTCCTGCTCTGGCACCCACCCCGAACCAGTCAGCAGTGGCTGGGGACAAAGCCCAGGTGTCCGAGTCACTTCTTTGCAGGTAGTGTAGCGCATCGAGGACAGGTGCGCCAGTGGCCCCTCTGCTCCTGGCTACGGTAGGGTACTGAGGCACCTGTGCCTGAGGAGCAGCCGCTGGCCTTCGGAGCAGAGCACAGAGGAATGCTACCACTCCATCCTGCGGTTCCGCTCTGCTTGCTCCCCAGCAGATGACAACAGCGATGGAGCATATGGCCCCAAAGTCACCTGGCATTCTGGGAAAGTGACACTGCTACCCCAAGCTCGGGGGAGGGCTGGGGCGCCTGAGCACAGCTTCTCCCTTTGTTCTTCAGAAGGGCAGAAGGTGGCCTCAGGAAATAAAACGTGCATGTGCGGACCTGAGGGAGGACTTCCTGTCACCAGACAGCCATTAGAGAAGGCGAGCACGGGATGGCTGTGCACACAGGGAGAAGCCCCACTCTGACCTCCTGCTCGCCTTTCTCAAGAGCCCTTGCTCCCTCAGGACTCTGCAGCTCTGTCCCCAGGGCACCATGAGAAGTCCCAGGACGTACCCAGATATTCTGTCCTCACCTGTGCCTCCCTGCCACCCGGTGTTCCCACGGTCGGACCCCCACTTGCGCTGGGAAGGCAGTGTGAGGGGACACAGCATCAGTGCAGGACAGGAGGCCTGGGCCCTCTTCAGTCCCATCCCCAGAGATGTCTCAGGCCTGAGCTGGGGTCCAGGTGGGCCATGCAGCCCCTTCGCCTATCCCAGCCCTGTCCTCCAAGCCCCTCCAGGTGCCAGGGACACTGCGGGCCCACATCCTCCTGGCCACCGTGGTGAGAGAACGTAAGGAGCTCATTGCTTACTGTGCTGCCTTCAGCCAAGCACGTAGGGCCAGGGCTGTGGGTCAAGGCCAGGTGATGGGGGAGGGACAGCAGGAAGCCCACCCCACCCCACCCCCGCTAACCCATGGTCCCCATGCAGGCCACAGACTTTTTTGTGTGGGAAGCCACCAGGTGTAAGTTGCATAGCCAAGCAGGATAAAGAGAATGCTTTTCAGTGTCCCTTTGCCTGGGACTCGGACTCGTGGCGGGCAGCCCTTTGGCTGTGCCTGCTTGCTTCTGGCTTCCCTGGGCTCTCCGGGAAGCCCTGAGTTCTGGTGTAGATCACGCAGCAGGGGAGCGGACCGGCTAAATATAACCTGGCCTGCCTGTTGGCTAAGTAGGTTAGACAGGCCGCACAGAGACAAAACCTGCCTCTGCGAAGTCCAGCCCTCCACACTGAACTTCCCCGGTGTATTTTACCTTCCCTCCGTCTCAAGCCGTGATTTATTTAGAAGGGAGCTGCAGACAAAGTGGGGAACTAAAAGGCATTGCCAAAGCCTCTGGTGAGATGATTCTTTGGTCTCTGGGCAGCAACTGGACCAGAAAGGGGACACACAGGGGCCGAGCCCTGGCCTGCACTGACAGAGGGCCAGGCAGTGTGGATTTGGGTCAAAAGGAGCACGCAGGACATGGCAGCAGAGTCGGCCAGCACAGGGCCATCTCCTCACGGCTGCGGGCAACTCATCGCGCTGCCTTGGGCCTCAGTGACCGAGGATGGGAAAGGGGACCGAAAGCTGCTTTCCTCACCTCCCGGGGGCACTGAGAAGGAACAGTCAGCTCCAGACTGAGCAAGGGCCTTGGAAGGGGACTGAAGGGCGAGGCCTGGAGACGGATGTCACACCTGCTCCTCTTCCCGCAGGGCCACCCGTTCATCGTGCAGTTCAATGACGGAAATGCCACTGTGGCGTCCATGTGGGTGTGCAGGGCGCTGGAGGAGCGGCGGAGCCAGCAAGGCCCCCCATGAGGCTTCCCGAGAAAATCCAGGACCGGTCACCCAGGGTCACCCACCTGCGGCCCCTCTGAGCTCACTGCCTGCACCGGAAGAGCTTTGCTGGCCCGGCCTCCCATGCTGACCTTCACCATTCCTGCCAGCGGATTCCTTGCCTGGGCGCAGTCCTGCCTGGCAGTCCTCACCCCTGTCCTGAGCACCGACTCCAGTGGGTTGGGGACAGGGCCGGCGGTAGGGGGAGGTGCCCTGGCCCCTGCTCCCGTCCATCCTCCTAACCCTACTCTGTAAAGGTCAGACCTGTGGGCAGCACTGACGGGAATAAAGCGTTACAGCCCCAGGCGGTCGGAGTGTTGTGTGAGTCTCCCGGGGAGGGGAGTCTCCACCTGAGTGGGAACACGCGGCAGGGCTGCCCCCAGGCACCTGCGGGCACCACAGTGCTCCCCACAGTTAGGTGACGAGGTCACAGCCTGCCCTCGTGGCGGATGAGTAGCAGAGCCCACGGCGAGCAGCAGCAGAGCCAGGCCCAGAGCCCAGATCACAGGCTCACGTGGAGTCTTTGTGAGACTCCGTTTGTCCCAGTGACACCAGCTCTACCACACTGCCCTGACCCGGCAGCCGAGTAGGAACTGGAGACCAAGGGAGGGACCGTGTGATGTCGGGGCCCTCGTCCACCCCTAGTGCACATTCGACCACAGCTCCTCTGCCACAACTGCCCTGCGCCCCTGAACCCTCTCAGGCCACTTTCAGCTGCTGTCTCAGGTCATCCTCCAGCCACCAGCCGGGTGAGCGTGGCCACCCCCACTTCACGGTGAGGAGCGGAGGCTCTGAGGGGCTCTGGAGGCCTTCGTGGTCTCAGCCCCACCCCATCGCAGTGCCCCTACCACTGTGCCGCACCTCAACCCCTTTTTCTCGTCCTGTATGGAGCCCACCCAGAAGTCCCATTGTCTTCACCTTCAACAGAGATTGGTTCCGCCCTCACCATCCTGGTTCATTACGGCCTCCGGGACTCACCAGCCTCCCACCCCCTCTCGACCCCTATATTCACACAGTAGCTAGGGGGCTGTTAAAACAAGGAAGAGCCAAGCCGGGCACAGTCGCACGCCTGTAATCCCAGCACCTGGGAGGCTGAGGCAGGAGGATTGCAAGTTCAACTCCAGGGGTACCCACAGGGCTCACCTTACCTCCATGCCAAATCCTGGGAGACAGGGGACGTGTGCAAGTCTCCCATGCAGGCACTATGCTCAGTGCTAACATCTCAGCTCTTCGTACTGGCCCCAGCCCAGGAGGTGAGTGAGTGGCATCGCTGTCTCTGCCCAGCTTACAGATGGAGAAAGGACTGTAGAGGCAGAACGGCCTGCCCAAGGTGCCCCAGCCAGGGATCAGGAAAGCCTTCTTGAGGCCTGGAGCTCCTCCCAGCCCCACCTCAGCGTAATCTACACCTCCGTGCACACACAGTTCTGTGTAATTGTAGGCCTCCCGGGTCCTCTGGAGCCCACTCTCTCCTCTCCCCACATTGAGAGCCCTGTTTTGGGGTGACCTCCAACATACAAGTTCCTCGCTGGTCTGAAGAGGAAGATGGGGGACTAGGTGGCCCTGGGCAGCTCCTGCGCTAGCCCCTCTGGCTGGAGGCAGGACCTTCAGCCTGTGAGATGCACTGTTCCTCTGGTCCCCAGCAGCCCAAGGCCAGGCTGCCGTGGCACTCAGAGGTCACAGAAGGGCAGCCTTGGAGCACAGAGGCTGGGAATGGGTTCTCCCCTGTGCCCGGAAAGCTGTCCCCCACTGTCACCCAGTCTCCATGGCTAATTCCTATTCTTCCGGGTCCCTTCTCTAGGCCTCCTCCTTATTCCCTGGCTCTTTACTGTCCCCAGGACCTGGCCCAGGCCAGCACCAGAATGCTGAGGTGGGAGGGGCGGTGGGGCGGGATCAGGCCTTGGAGCGGCCTCTCGTCCCCAGGGCTTGTCACTGCCCCCCTGTCCGTTGCTCTAGCCTCAGGGATGCCCTCCCTGGGTCTGGCCCCAGCCATTCAGATGCACAAGCCAGCATGAGAAGAGCATTTCCAGGACAGGAGAAGTGCAGGGTCTTGGCATGGAGGTAAGGTGGGCCAGCTAGGCCTGGTGGCACAGTCCTGTAATCCCAGCGCTCTGGGAGGCTGAGGCAGGAGAATCACAAGATTAAGCACAGCATGAGTAATTTAGCGTTAGTAATTTAGTATTAGCAGGTCCCTGGCTCAAATTTTTTTTTAAATGGCTAAGGAATAACTCAGTGCAAAGAACCTGGGGTCAATCCCTTAGTGCCCCCAAAAATATACTACCTAGGTCACTCCCTCCCTGCTTCCCATCTTTGGTTTCCTTGTCTGGAAAGTGTGTATACAAAATCCCAAGCTTTGTCCTCCAAGAAGGCCACAGGGACAGAGGGAAGAAAAGTAGGACCTTCATTACAGGTCCTGTGATCCAAGGCAGTGTGACCCAGAAACCCCAGGTAGTGAGCCAGTGCTTGGGCTGGGTGGCAAGCCCTGGCCAAGCCTCCCTGCCATAGACCTGGGCCTAGAGCCTTGCACCAGGCCGAACAGACCTGGATCTTTGTGGGGAAACATAAACTTCCGGATCCCTGCACACAGAGGCTGAAGGCCAGAGTAGAAGCTGGGTGAGGGCTCCAGATGGTGCTGGGCAGGGCATGCAGGCTGCTATCTCCGCAGGCCTTGCAGCGTATCGCATCCCATGGGGAGAACAGGGAGCCCGGGGAGGGCCGTGAGGCCATCTCAAAGGTATCCCTCACTGCCGCCCATACTCCTTGCAGCCCAGCCTATCACAAAGTCTCGTCCCCGTTAGAACAGAAGCCTGTGTCCCCAGTCACAGCAAAGGCAGTGAGAAAGAAGGGTGCAAGGAGGGGTAAAGGGGGAGAGTGGAGGCCCCCAAGCCCCCCACAGGGAGTGGGGAGAGCCCGAACAAAGTCAGCATCTGTGGATGGGACGACAGGGACAGGGATGAGTCACGGAGAGGATGCTCATGTGGGGTGGGGGAAGCCAGCAGGGCCCGGGCCTCAGAATGACAAATTTTCTGCTGAACAACTACAAATATTCACTGTGACTTCGGACAGAGTCTGTAAAAGACTTTGCCTCCTCCCTTGGCTGTGTCATTTGTCTTGTTTTGAAGGCACGAGATTGCAGGCACGAACTTATAGACCAAACTTTGTCTTAATTGCTGAGGTGTCGCCACCTCTCCGGCAGATAGCAGCACAATGAACGAGTCGATGGGGCTGAGCCCTCCAGGTCCTTCTTCTAAAGTGAGACAAATGTCCCTCCTTGGAGCCAACAGTCCATCGGCAGCTCTGTCATTTATTCATCTCCCTAACCGTTTGCATTAACTTGCAAGGGATAAAAAGTCTCTCCTGCCTGCAGACTTAGTTAAAAACAGCCAGTCAAACCGTGGCGTCGGTTCTGCCTGCGACTGCTCATTCTGTTCTCTCAGCCCCCACTTCTTTCCACCACCACCCCTCAGGGGTTCAGGGAGAGCAACAACAGGAAATGATGCAGGAGGCAGGGTGGAAGTTGTGAGAAGCAAAAGCAACACCACTGGCCACGCAGTGCGGGCAGGGCGCGGCGGGCGCTCCCAGCCCTTCCGGCACCCCTTTGTGGGCTGGCACGGAGCAGTCATCCCACGCTCCTACCTGTGTGCCTGCAGGGCCTGTGCTCTGCTCCCTCTCGCCTTCCAGCCCTGGCACGGGCTGATCTCAGCCAGGGACACCTTTCCCGCCATCCTCTGCCTGCTGCACAACTGCTGCCAGTCCTCCAGGCCTAGCCGGGAGCTGGTTCTTCTGGGGATCCTGCCTGAGCTGGCCGCCCGTGCATGCAGGAACCCAGCCCGCACGCCCCCTGCCTGTCCGGCCTCGCTGTCACCCTTCTGGCTCAGGCAGGCGCTGAGGCTTGCTCCTCTAGTGACGTGCTGTGTGACCCTGGGATGGATGCCTAACCTCTCCGGGCCTGTTTCCCTACTAGTACAGGTGAAGACAATTGTTGATGTTGTGGATTATTCAGTCATCACCGCTGCTGCCTCTGATGAGCACAGAACACTTCTAAAGGGTGCATTTCCTCCCTTCCTAGCCTGCCACCAATACACACAGACCCACACAGCCAGTCTCTGTCATGGGCACCTTTTCCTCTTCCTTCCCGGGAAGAGATGGGCCTCCCACAGGAAGGGTCCACCTGGCCTCCTTTCCCAGCCCCATCCTGTGGGGAGAAAGTTGTTTCCAAAACAGTAAACCTCCTTCTTCACTGTAGACAAAGCCACCCTCAGAACCTCACTGATGAAATGGGCTTACTGGCACCTAAGACTCTTGGAAGAGATGTCAAGGGCCCGGCACTGTGCCTGCTACACAGCCATGCCCCTTGGCTGGCATCAACAGAACTAGAAAAGCAATCCATCTCCCACCACTGCTGCCACTCCAATGTTCAATTTTGTCCCTCTCTGTCCCTCTTACCCTGCCTTATTCCTTCTTCAGAGCAATTGTCACCCCTTGATATGAGAGTCATCGTTCCTGGTCATCTCCCTGCTGGAATGGGGTATTGGGGGGGCAAGGCCTACCTTGCCTTGATTCCACCTGTGCATCCAGCTCCTGGCACACAGGATGTTGGGGGAGTCTTAATGAGCCAACAATGGCATCTTCACCAACCCTGGGCACTGCCAAAGCCCTGGGGAAGTCCCTTTGCCCAGCCAGGACACCTACTTGCTCACTGGAAACCCCAGCAAGACTGCAACCATTTCTCCTGGGGAAGGGAGGGTAGTCACTCTCCAGACCAGAAAAGCCAGCATCCCCCAGCAACATAAGGGTGAGAATAATCAACAAATGGTTGTGAGGCAAGTGGATGTCCATATTCAGGAGGATGGATATGGACCCCTACCTCACACCATATACAGAAATTAATTCAAAATGAATGGATTGCAGACTAAACCTAAAGAGCCAAAACAAATTCCTTAGAAGCTATGGAAGTAAGTTTTTAGATATGATGACAAAACAACCCAGAAATTATAAAATAAATTTGACATTATCAAAATGAAAAACTTTTGTCCTTCAAGGGATACCATTTTCTAAAAAAGATTGAGAAGACATCTCACATAATGAAAGAAGATATTTGCAAACCATATGTCTGATAAGAGACTTTGATCTAGGATATCTAAAGAACTCCTAAGCCGGGCATGGTGGCACACGTCTGAAATCCCAGCACTGGGGAGGCTGAGGCAGGAGGATCACTGTGAGTTCGAGACCAGCTTGGTCTACATAGTGAGTTCCAGGTCAGTCTCAACTACGTAGTGAGACCCTGTCTCAAAAAAACAAA